GGGGGGGGGGAGGTTAGTGGTTTTCCAGCTGGAGGTCAGATCCTAAAGCCCCTGACTCTGTCAAATCGACCTTGCTAAGGGGTGGCAGTGGGCGGACTGGGAGTGCCCCCGCCCTGCTTCAGTAAATTGGCTCTGCTCTTTTTTCCTATTTAATATATTGGGATTTTATCTAAGGTTTGATTTGAAGAAAAAATTCTGCTACAGAAAGCTTGAAAATCCTTGTAATCCCTAAGGCCCTCTTTGGCAATGACTGTCTAAAACTCAACGACAACATTCCCCAAGCCTCCCAAAGGGCAGAGCGAACCATATTCCTTGACCATCCATTTTCCTCTCTATTGTGTGAGTGGTTTTTGAGACCCAGAACCTGAGAAGACACGTCAGAGAAGGAGCCCGAGAAGGAGTCCTACTAGAGTAAGCCCATCCGCCTGGCTGCCATTTCATTCCATGAGCAGGCAGCAAATTAACTCTTTCCTAGGCCATCCCTGCCTGTCCCTCTCAGTGCAGTTACACTGGGAGCAGCGACTGCTGGGAGGAAAAAGCGTGTGAACACATTAACTCCTTCCCCCCCGCCCCAGCATCTGACAAGAAGTTCAGCAACAGAGTGCCTGGCGGGCTTTGGGTTCAGTGCCAACAGGCTTGGCAGGTGCCCGGCTGTAGCGGAAGAACAGCAGTTACAGCTTAACTAGAGGCGGAGGATGGCAACACATTCAATTCAGTTGGGAAGGAAGAGCAAATGGAAGCGAGACAAAAGCAGCTGATTGGGAGGCCGCACGTGCGGGCATCCTTCCTGTGGGAGACACTGCTGGGCTAGCCAGGCTGCCCTTGACCCCACAAACCTGCCTGCCCAGTGCCTCGTGGCCCTGCCTATGAACTAGGTGCTGGCCCCAGCAGGCAGAGGGAAGGCCGCTGCTTCGGGCAGTGTGTGCCGGTGGGGGCCCTGCCATGCGGGTCTGAGGGGCAGGCGCTCTGCGTAACCTTGCCATAGTTTGGTAGCGCCTTTCCTCTCTTTTTCTCACCAGCTCTGTCCTAATTCAGACTCTCATCATCTCACACCAATGCCGTCTGCTTCACTGCCATCAAATACAGCTTATGTTATACACTTTGTTGCCGAAGAGCCTGGAATAGCTCATATTTTCTTCTAAGGCAATATAAGTCTTAAATTTTAAGAATTTATGTACCTGTTTTAACTTTAATAGATTGATTTTAACAATAATGTTCTAATCTCAGCTGAGGGTCGAGAGGACACCAAACTGTTCTTAATAAGGAGGATGATTGTGATCCCTCTGCTCAATTCATATGCTGAAGTTATTCCTCTGCCTGCCTGTAATGTATAAATAAAGGTCTGCTGAGACCAGAGCAGGAAGACTTGTACCCAACTCCGACTCCTGTGTCTTCCTCATGCCTGCTCCCCTCTCCCCTTTCTAGGAATCTCTGCTCCAGGATGCTGCTCCCACCTAAAGGCCCTGCCCTCTAACAGCACATGATCGGGGCCAGTCTCCAACACTTCAGTTTGGAAATTTTCAAAGTGCCTCTACTGACCAGGTATGCCTACTCTACACGCCACAGTGTGGGTGCTTTACTTGATGCAACCCTTCATTTTACTAAAATATATATGGTGATCTGTATCATAATAACCTCAATGAGGCTGCATTTATCTTAATTATCCAGTGTAGGAAGTTGAGGTTCAGTGAAATTAAATAATTTGAGTGATCTGTTTGGTCTCACCATCTAACATTATCTCCCTCTGATTTTATCTCTGAGTCTTCTGATCTCTGAGTCTTCTGTTCTAATTCATTGGCATATTCGGTAAACTTTTTAGGATGGAATAGAGGAAAATCACAGGCTGTATGTCTCTAACCTACTTAACCTCTCTGGGTCTCAAATGGGGGATGAAATCAGCTTCACATGTCATTAAGGTGGGCAACAGTCAGCACATCTGGCACCATGCAGATGCTAAACAACAGGCACACGACTCTACCTCTCAGCCCCCAACATTCTCTCCTGCTGAAACAGCTCCCACTCTTCATACCTATTGGAACTGGACTCAATCTTCAAGATTCAACTCAAATTCCCAGTCTCTGAGAAGCCAGCCAGCCCTTCAATCCAGGCATACCGGACTCTGGCTCCTCCCAGAACCAGACTTACCTGCAGCCCTCACCCAACACCAAATACACCCTTATTCTGGGACCTTGTCCAAGACGCCGCCCAAAAGCGTGCTTTCAGGAGGGCTCAGTCATTGTCTTACTCTTTGTAAAGTCTCTCACCACTAGGTCTCCCTTAAAGTAGGTATTTAATAAACATTTGCCAGGAGCACAGATGCCAGTCTCCCAGAAAATAGCCCACTTAGGCTGGACACCTAAGTAAGTTGAGTGGGTCGGGCAGCCACTGAAGCCATTTATTTTGCTCACTCTGTATGGCCTGTCAATGGCCTCTATTACAGAACTGCCCCGGCTTCTCTATGTCAGTGAGAGGGGCCTGACTCCTAACGTGCCCTCTGGACCCTCCCCTCTTCCAGCCAATGAGAGGCAGGTCAGCTTTCTGAGTGTCTTGTCTACCCACATATCTGCAGGGGCAATAGTCAGGAAATGAGACTTTGGCAAAGAAGCAAATTTAGGTGAAGGAGACTTGACAATTCATCCCTGTGGCGAGGAGAATCCCAGTATTTACAGGCAGCACATCACTTTATTCACAATGGGGAAAGAGTATGCTTTCCATGGCTTCTGACGAGTTCTGTGGTCATGCCAGGCTCCCTTGGCCATTTCTGGGTTTTATAAATGTTTGATGAAAATTCTCTCAGGGGAAATCAAATTTTTATAAGAATTTAATGATAGCTCATCCAGACATGTGGTGATTTAAGTTGACAGCTCATTAACCCTTTACCAGCTAATATCCTGAGCCAGACACTCTAGAGAAAGCCTCGAAAAGAGAAATGGGTATTTCCTAACACCCACTTGAAGTTCAGACAGAAAATAGCTGGCCTTCGTGGTATTTCCTTCTGAGAAAGTTGAGCTCCTTCATGTCTGACTTGGGTGCTCATGGTGTTGCAGATTCTCGACCCGCGTACGCAGAGCTCACAACGCCCCAGCTATGTGAGAGGACAATGTTTTCCATTCATCCATCTGCTCCTGGGTTGAGAGAGCCACAGGAGTATGGGGGAGGAAACCACATTCCAGACAGCCCACAGTTCTTAGAGGCTAACAAGTTAGCTCAGAGTGTCTCTCTGGCCTCAAGTCAAGGTTTTCCTAATGTGTGTCTGATGTCTCACGTGGACCTCTGAAGTCTGAGTTCAAATCCCCAGCTACAATATGACACTAAGTCAAAGAGTCCGTGCATCAATATACTGACATGGACAAGAATAACTTCTTTTCCATGTCCTCAATGCCTTCAGCTCATACTGTGCTTCAGTTCTGTTGGGAAGAAGGCAGAATGGTGCAGAGAACACAGATGGCAACCGACTGTTACAGATTCATTCCATGTCTCAAAGCAAGTTCTGGATACTGTCAGGATGAGAACGCCAAGGTATGCTGGCTCTCACTTGTGCCTGCTCTCACCTGGCTCATTGCCAAAACAGCCTTTGGCCATTTTTTATGCCACAGATCAGCAAGAAAAAGAACCTTTGGATACACTGATAGGTGGATGAAGCTCAAAAACAATATGCTGGGCAAAAGCAACAGATACTGAGCAAAAAAGTGCACACCGTACAATCCTATCACAGAAGTTTACAACAGATCAAACTCATTTATGGTGAGAGAAGTCATAAGAGAGATTGCCCTGGGGTAAGAGACTGACTGGAAAAAAGTTTTCCAAGGCAATGGAACAATTCTAATCTGGTTGCAAGGTGTACAATATATCAAAACTCTCTTGAAAGTGTAACACTTGAGTTCAGTCATTGCATATAAATTATATCTCAGTTGAAAAAGACTTAAAGAGCACACAAAGGAAAACTACGTTGGCATAAGAAATCTTTCTCCTTCTACAACAAGCATAACTATGTGCTGAGCTGTGTCAGAAGCACTGTGTATATGTACAAGGAAAAGAGATTTGGATCCTGCCTCTCATAAGCTTACAGAGGATGCTGAGACCTCTCTCTGTTCTTCCCATAGTGGCTCTCAAACTTTTGTTTCTGACCTCCAAATCACAAAGAAAGATATATATTAAAACACACACTTGCGCGTGCACATACACACACCCATGGGTGCCTAAATATACATACACAGTTAACAAATTTTACAAATAAGACTTAGCTTACACGTGATGTGCCCTGATATTATTAATCCTATTCTAATTTAGTTTATTCTTAAAAAAAGTTATAGTAATTAAAAATGATTTTATGACTCTTCTGTACTGGATCTTTAAAAAAAAAAAAAAGATTTGCTTTTATTTATTTATGCATACCAGAACTGGGGTGTAGGCCAGAGTCCCAGGGGTATATACCAGAGGTATGGGGTGAGAGGATTCACCAGAGATAGAGTGGGGAACAGAGCTGAATTACACTGCTGAGGGGAGCAGCGGTGAGACAGGAGGTCTGCTACGCCATGTGGGTCACCTCCCTGGCCAGGGATGAAACTTGTGCTGCAGTGGCTGAATATAGCTTGACAGAGCAGAGACTGAAGCCCTCACGTCACCAGGGAGGCCAGGCGCCCATAATAGATCTTGACCTACATAACAAGAAACACTATTCTAGGGTCCCCTGTGTTCCCCTCTAGTGCTGCAGTTAGCTGGTTTGACAGAAACATCTTGTTTGCCTCTAAGTCGAACAGGATTAATAATATCAGGGCACATCACATGTAAGCTAAGTTTGTATCCTGACACTGAATACAAAGCCTCATTGCAAATAAATATTTACCAAAATTTATAAAGCAGAATAATGTCAACTTAAAAAAAAAACACACACACAGTAATTAATCTGTCCTTACCTCAGGAAAAACAAAAACAAACGAGCAAAGTAAAACCAGAGCGGCTTGACCACCCGTGTGGCCAGCTACCAAACTGGACTTGCTCATAGGCCTTGGCCCCACGCCTGGCCAGGGCTGAGGCGGCCGCTTCCTCCTTGCGGAGCTCCCACTGAGTTGGAGCCTTGTGAGTATGGCTCTGAGCATGCCTGTTTTTTTATTTTAAAGATGAGATTTTTGAAGGTACCTTGCTTCTTGGATGATTTTTAAAACATCTACTCTCATCAGGCAAGAGTAGTGACTGCGAGAGTCATCAACAACAGCATTTGGTGAAAAGGTAGAAAAGTTGCCCTGGGGGTAAATGAGAAAAGACAAGCCAGCAGAAGAGCCAGGCAGACTGCACAGACTGAATTTTCACCTAACGTGCAAATAAAAAGAAGTGATCCTCTTCCTCACACCAAGAGCGGCCCCTTCTCCGAGACTGCTCGCCCAAGGAGAATGGATCCTGTTTAGGGTTCTGACCTCCATGGAGTGCCAGTGTTCAGATTGGCATCAACAAGCAGAGAGAACAAAGAGGAGCCTGAGCCGGGATCAGGGCTCCGCTTCCCGCAGTGAAACGACGACACCCAGGGCATGAAGAGGACGAAACCTGAATCAAAAATCCCTGGCTAAAGGAGACAGGAATCTGGATTTTTAAAAAGTTGCCCAAGCAACTCTGATGGAAGGAGGCTGGATTCAAGTACCAATTCATCAGTTGCCAGAAAGGGAGCAGGGGGTTGGGGGTTGGGGCAAAGCAGATTTGCAAAACGGTTCAGGGACAAGCCCCAGATTGCTCAGCCGGCTCTAATGGTGGGTGACCTCAGACCAGAATGCCACATGGCATTGTGAAGTGTGGCTGGTTGGTTCATGGAGAAAGCAGGACAAGTGTGCCAGGTCTGGGCAGAGCCCGCCGAATGGCAGCCAGAAGCAAGTGTCAGACCACAGTAGGAGTCCAGCCAGGATGGGCCTAAAACACGGATTCCCGAATTGCCCTCACTTCAGTGCGCAAGTAGTTGATGCAACGGAACATTTCCTGGGAGACTGAAGAATGTGCAGGGTTTGGTCATCAGACCACAGAGTACATTTTGCCCCTGCCACTAATTAGCTAACTTCAGGTAAGTCATCTAAGTGCTCCAAATTTTTATCTGCAAAAGTGGAGTGCAGGATGACTTACTTCCTGTATGCATTCTTGAGAAGACTAAATGCAACTGTGAAGTGCTTTCCCTTGGTGCTGCTGAGCCCCGGAAGGGTCCCGCCACTATCTTCATTAATTGTTCTTTAAACACCACCGCAACAGAACTGGGGATCACCTGATGAGGGTTCTGAAACCAGGCCCCTAGTTTAAAGCACTTACATCAATAAGGTCAGACAGGTCGTGGATATAGTACTTGAAGACAGATGCATTGGTTGCCTCCAAAGCCAGCAAGTACTCATTCCGTGCCTTAATAGCCTTCAGTTTATTCTCTGTGTACTTAGCTTGGCGCTGAAAAGGGAACAGAAGTTCAATTTTACTTTTTTTTTTTTAAAGAGGAGTTGTTCTCTAAAGGATGAAAGTACAGTACATTCGAGAACCACAATTGTGCTGCTACTCCCTATGCGAGTCTGCCTTAAATTGGGTTCTAATTCTGTTTAATGAGATTCAAGAGCATAATGTAGATCAATCCAGGGAAGGTTAATGAGGCTCCCTACTTCAGATGCGTGCCCCAGTTTGGTTCTATCTGCAAATACTATCCTCTCTCCCTCACCACTGCTTTGGAGGAGGCCTCACTGCATCTGACCCCGAAGACCTGACATCCGATACCAAACCCTCTGCCTACAGCCCCCTTCCAGGTTTGGGAAGGTGACCACTGTTACCTGTTTATCTGCTACAAGTTAAAAACTTGGGAGCCCACATGCCCATGTTCTTCCAGTTCCTAAGATTTCTTCCAGAGCAGACAGGATTCACTATCAGTTGCTAGACACTAACGGAACCCAGAGCTTCCTATTCTGTGCTTCCTGGTTCTCACTGGGGAATTCCTGTCAGCCCCGACTTCCGGAGCACTCCTGCCCATCCGCCACAGTTACCAGAACATACGCACCTTCTCCTTCATCTTCTCAATCTTCTTCACCGAGCTCCTCCGGACATGCTTCTCCTCGATGCGGACACTGGACGTGGAGTCAGGGGAACGTGGGGTCTGCCGGTCCTCCTGCTTCACCGATTTGCCGATTTGCTTCTCCTCCTGTTTTTCGGCCTCCTTCAGCTTACTCTGAGCACTGATGCTGTCGGCATTGTACATGTGATAGGTCTTCATGACCTGCAACACACCCAGCCCCGAACCCCAGAGGTCAAGCAAATGGGGTCTGTTTTCTACTTCACAGACAGACTTAGTCGGACCTCTCTCTCATGGAGCAATTTCCTCATATCTGTAAGAAAAATTTGTGTTTGGTTCTGTGAACATTATATAGAAAGACCATTCCAAAGCTTAAAAAGTGGTAGCTGAACTTGAGTCAACAGCCTTGTCTACTAAAAAGACTACAAATTTTAAATATTTGTTGTTGGGTTTTCTTGGGGGACATAGAAGAAATGGTGTGTAGGCTAGAGGTGGAGGTGGGGGGGGTGAGAGGAATCACAACAGACATAATCAGGAACACAACAGCTGGATCTACTGAAACACACTGCTGAGGGGAGCAGTGGGTGACACAGGAGAGGTCTGCTGCACCCTGTGGGTAGCTGCCTGGCCGGGGATTGAACTGAGGCCATTGTGGTGATAGTGCTGAGACTGAACGCCTAGGCCATCAGAGAGGCCCCTACAGCCACGTAATTTCTATGTTTAGTCACCTGACAATGCCAAGTCAATAGGGAACAACACCACCACTCAGATTCCAGGAGCAAAGTCCTCCTGTTTGTTAGGAACCTTGAAGAGGGCAGTATAGCTGTGGAGAAGCTCATACTTTTTGGACCTTTCAGACATAAAATGGGGAAGCGGAAGTTTCTCCTACTGGCCTAGCATCCTGAGGCTCTGGTCTCTTTTATCCAGATCAAACACCCTGTCTCATGGCAACTGGAAGAACAGCAGCAGGAAAGGGGCAGCATTCGCTGAGGGCTGAGGAGACCCCACCCCGCCTTCGTGCCTGCACTGCACGGGCGTGTTCTCCTTTCATCCTTGAGCAATCCTGTGATGTAGACAACAGCCCTAGGAAAATTATAAATGTGCACGACAATTCAGGTAAGAGCCCGCGAAGACATAAAATCTCCATCAAGTGAAATGGAGTGGCCACAGGAAATAGTATAAAAAGAGAGGGATGCAATTTTCAAATTTTTCATCAAAGCAGCTCTCTGGGAGTCCAGTCCCTTTTCTTAATGAGGCCAGGAAGTCTGGATCTTGCATTTGTTTCCAGCCCTCCCAGATATACCACTTCCAGCCACAAGGTGCTTGTGCTTCCTTGCTGGAGTTTCCTGCTTTCCACACAGGGAGTCTCTCATCCCTATAATGGAATTAAAAATGCTGGCTAACAAACCAAGCAAGCTAAAGGTCAAGACTGCTAACATTTTGATGCCACAAGATTTCTTTTAGAGGAAGAATTAGAATATAGGAGTTGAGGGCATGAGTGTGTGTGTGTGTGTGTGTGTGTGTGTGTGTGCACCATGTGCTGTTCTCTGAATACCAGAGAAGAATAAGGTTATATTAATAATAACCCCAACTACTTACTCAGTACACTCTGTATGCCCAGAGTTTGGGTAAGTCACCTCACTAAGTCACTTAACTTAGCCTTTACAACAACTGTATGAAAGAGATGTTATTTCTACTTTTAAAGAAGAGGAAGTGTCTACTCAAGGTCACAGAACTAGCAAATGGCAGAATCAGGACTCAAACCCCAAAGTCCATACTCTTTGCTCCTATGAACAACATCTCTCTTCTGTATAGGACCAGAGCCATTCTGGTAGGGAAGAAGGTTGCATTTAGTAAGAAAAGTTTGGAAACAGAAGCGAACTTCATTTATGGACTGGTGTTAGGGTAGTGATCTCAACTGAGGATTAATGTGGCCCCCACGGGACATCTGGCAAATTCGGAAGACATTTTTGATCACCCTAACTTGCAGAATGCTGCTGGAATCCAGTAGGTAGAAACCAGGGGTATTGCTAAAAGCTCTATGCATAGAAGAGTCCCACAACATTGCCCCACATGTTAGTGTTGTGGAAGCTGAGGCATCCTAGGCAAGAGGGGTTTGTAGGTCTCCTACTGCTTCAGGGTCAGCTGAAGGTGGAGGAAGGAAGAAAGATACTGGGACCCTAAGAAAATCAAAGTACATCAGAGTTTAGTGTCTTGCTGTCGAGGCATAATATCAATTTCTTCTTATTCTGAACTGCACCACATATCTGTAAGTGTAGGATCTACTCCGATTATATACTCTGTGTTCTATCTACAAAGATGTAATGATATTTAACAATTGACAGCATTAAAAAACCTTAAGTAATTCAGGGCCCTCCCTGGTGGCGCAGCGGGTTAAAGCACAGCACTAAGAAGCTTAAGCCACTTCTGCATGAGTTTGCCCCGGAGAGATCCACATGGCGAGGCAGACCTCTCCTGACCCGCCCGCCGCTCCCCTCAGCGGTGTACTTCGTCAATTTGCCTGTTCTGCTCCCCTCTCTGTCTCTGGCCTGTACCCCAGCTCTGTATGTATGGATAATAAAAAAAAAAAATTAAAAATACCTTAAGTAATTCAAACAGTGCTCCATGTTTCCAGGCTGACTAAGAAGTGAGAAAGAAGCCATTGTTACCTAGCTGAGAAAGGGTAGATTTCTCTTTGTCTCTTTTCTTCTGAATGCCGGAGATTAGAAGGGCCCTGTTTGGGGAATCTGAACATCTGAAGTGAAAAACCAAGAAATACTGATGTTGGACTTTGCACAGTCCAGTCAGATTACCTTACAGTGAAGGTCAGAGATGACACAGAACCTTGAACCAGCTCTTTAGTGCTTCACTTTAAAATATGAGCACACAGCTTAAGATTCCCAGACATTTGAGGAAAATATCTAATAGGAGAGATCAAGGCCAAAATGAGCCATTTTGAGGAAACAAAGTACACAGAAAGAAAAAAGGACTTTGTAAGTGATCAACCATGCCTCTAGAGTGGGAAATGAAAAGATAGCATGAAATAAGAGCAGGATGTAACAGAAAAGGAACATTAACTTGGAGGTTAAGATTCCATTTAAATATCTCACCAAAGAGCCTGACTTCATGCCTCTCCTTTGTTGGAGACAGTTGAGTTCTTATCATCTCACATTTTACTTGCTACTTTAGCTTTCTGCCTCTTCTACTAAAACTAAGTGCCTTGAGTTTGGGACAATCTTATCTTTGTATCTCTTGCCTTTGTATCTCAGGGCTTAGTGCTAGAGACAAATGGGCAAGGAGAGTTGGGGGACCACTCAGTGACACTGTTTAAAAGAACAGGTGCTAAATACCAGTCTGAAGATACTCAGCAAGCAGACAGCTGCTGCACCAGCCAGGGGAATATATTCATGGGGTACAGAGCAGCAAACCTCTGAGGAACAACAGCTTCTGTCCCCAACACCTTTTACTTCCATCTCAATCCTGAGCCTGACTTTTCAGACTCAGTCAACCCACGTGGCCCCAGTACCCCTTCATAAACTCCTGCCTTGTGGGCTTCCAGATACAACCTTCCAGTACAACTGAGGCAGAGAACACTGGAGTTCTCTGAGAAATGTACTCTGATTTCAAAGGCATTCTTGGAATATCAGCCAGAAAATGAAGACACTTCCGCAGTAACCTACACTCCAGCCAGCTCGCTCTGTGCAGCTAAAACGCACGTGAAGAACAGGGCTGGCTGGGACCGCTCACTGAACAGCGGTAGGGGACATGGCCCCTGGGCTGGAATGCCAGTCAGGGACATCAAAAGCCCCTTCAGACAGAAAAGAGGAAGGTACAGAGAGGCAGCTGGCCACTTATGGTGGGAATCTGGGCCTGTTGCCCAAAGGCCTCTTTATTTGGGAACACCAGGGCCCCTCACTCTGGATCATCAAAAAGTACTTAAATTATCAGCCCTGGGTAATCAGTGTCCCCAAAGGAAGCATCCACAGGCATCAGGAACAGATGCAAAGTAAAAAAGGAGCGCTGGATACGGCGGTCTCTTATTTCCGTGGTTTCTTTATCCCTTTGCCTGTAGGAGAGTGAATTAAGAGGCTTCTCCTGTCCTCCAAAGAGCAGTAAGGGGTCAGCTCCCCTTGTTCTCTTCCCAACTTCTCTGTGAGACAAAGAAGGAGGGGAGGGGAGGGAAGGGGGGAGGGGAGGACCTGGGTACCTGGAGTGTGGGGACCTGGCGCATAAAGGTTAGCAGCATTTCAAAAGATCATCTAGCTAGAGGCAGACCAGGTAGAGTGAGCTGCCCAGCTCAGGAGACTCCAGTCCCTAAGCCAATAGTTTTTCAGGCTTCAGACTTCTGACAGTTTGGGTCAGATAATTCTGGTTGGGGGAGAGGGGAGGGAGTTGTTCTGTGCATCCTAGGGTTTTAGTTGCATCTTTGCCTCTAGTACCCCTCACCCTATTCTGTAAACCAAGTAAGTCCCAGTCATTGCCAAATAGCCCCTTGAGGGAAAAATCACCTTGTTTGAGGTCACTACACTAGAATACTTGTCCTTCTCTGGAACTTTCCAGTGTCCTCTTTTTTTTTTTTTTTCCTTCACTGTCTACTAGAGAGCATCAAAGTTTTATTTTGGCCTTTGACAAATTATGAAAGTTCACCAAGTCACCTCAAAACAGGCGACACCCTGCTCAGCCAGTTCTCAGGCTGCACAGAAGTGAGATGGGGCCACGCTCCGTGGTGGCTGCGGCCTCACAGTGGCTGGCCAAGAACCGGCTATGCCGAGGCCTGAGGCTGCAGCCTTCCAAAGACTAGAGCCACCAGGCCCGGACTCTTCCTCATTCCAGCACAAACCAAACACTTTCGCTTATATTTTAAAATCATGTTAAGAGAGCTGTGCCTCTGAGGGACCTAAGAGATCCCAGACATTGTTCTTCCTCTGCTGCCTCCAGCCCCACGGCAGGGGCAACGTGCGATGTTAGTTTGGTGTTGCCCGTTAGCCAGCAACAGAAACAGCAAATTGCAGAGGCCCAAGATATGTATGGGAAAATAAAACTCTTCGTGCACCAACTACAAGTATCATTTTCTGTCTCAGTGATTTCTATCAGGAGACAGGAGAAACAGCATTTCTTTAGGGTCTAGAAGATGCTCTGCAAATCAAGAGCAGAAGTAAAGCATTAAACAGACAAGAGTTCAGGGAACTCATCCTGTCTGCAAATGGTTTACATCAACATGCTTCTATTTTTAAAAAGCCTTAACTTCATTTGAGAGAAATGAAAACTCGGGAACTGAACCAAAGGGTACCGTTTATCTCCTTGGCTTTGGAGCAGGAAAATCGCAGAGCAGAAATCCCTAACAAGCTGAGAGACACTAGAGACAAGTGTGATGACGAATCCGCTCAAGTTACTTGCTTAACTGTTGCCATGACAAACCAGCCACACCTAGGCTTTGGATAAAGAACATGGAATTCCCTGATCGCAAATGCCTGTAACGAAGGTCACCACTGGTGTCTTCTGTGAGAAGGAAGGGAGGAAGGAGGGAGAGAAGAAGGAAAGGGGGGGGGAGGGAGGCATGGAAGGAAGGTAGGAAGGAGGGAAAGAAGGAAGAGAGGGAGGGAGGAAGGAAGGGAGGAAGGACGGAAGGGAAGAGGGAAGGAGGAGAGGAGGAGGGGAGGAGAGAAAGGAGGGAGGGAGGGAGGGAGGGGGAGGGAGGGACAAAGGAAGGAAGGGAGAAGGGCAGTGAAAAAGCTGGTAAACTGAGAAAATCAATTTCCTGGAGGGCACAGGCTGGCACAGCCCTAGTGGAGAAGGGGCCCTGGAAGGCTTCAGCTGCACAACTGAAATATTCCTTGAATAGCAGCAGAATTTCCTTAGTGTGCAACTGTGTTTTAATTGTAATTAATGAAACATGGCTGAGGAAAAAGAGCTACTGCTCCCAACGAAGGCATACGCTGCCATAGGAGGCATGAGCCTAAGTGCTTGTTTCAGCTCAGACTGTGTCCCCTTGTGCAGCCCAAGGCCTGCCTCTTCACCTGGGTGTGGCCTTCATAAAGCCCCAGGCAGCCATGCGCTCTCTGCCATAACTGGTCTCTCCCATGTGGGTATTTAGGACACTGGGCTTCCCTCTACACTTACTCTAGTCTCACACCAGCAGATTAATCCAGTAACTGATTAAAACTTTGAACATTAAATCCTTCCCAACAGGCACTATTAATTAATTCATGGTGCAACACAGGCTATGTTCCTTGCCCATGAGGTTGGGAGTGCCTGGTCTGCCGTCAATGAGGGTCAGTTGTGCTGGTAACCTAGATCTTGAGTGTCTCTCATAGTCGTACTCCACATGAAGCCAGAGGTAGCTGACACTGAGGAGGAGAGATCTTATTTTGACTCATTCAGATTTGAAAATCAGCATGTGAAAGAGATGGGTGGAGTCAGCCCAATGGGGACACCATGCACCTTCCTCAAATTCAGCTCTTGCTGACCTGACTATGACCACAGGCCTGCTTCCCTCTGCTTCCCTCTGCTGTTAAAGAGCCAAGAAGCCAGCTGACTTACCGAGTAGAGTTCATTCAGGACCTTCATCAAATCATCTTGCAGCTGCTGGCCAACTTCTTTACTCTGGAAGGAAAAAGGAAGAAAGTTATTAATTGGGAAGCAGGAGGGAGGAGGGGCGATAAAGACAGGAGGAATACTGGTTCCACAAATAACCCAGACTCAATTAAGGTCCGTTATTTAAACTAGCAAATCAGATAAGCACTCTTATCAGATCCAATTATTGTCAGATTACTCAAAGAGTTTTAATAAAATGAAATGTGCCCCCTCTATAACCTAGCAGGGACAATCATGTGAAGGCAAAGTGGGTTGCAGCCTCTGATTTCTCAACTGGTCCCCAAAGAGCAGGCCTGAAAGCCACAGCCTACTTAGCAACTGTTGTTAGGTGGATCTAGCATTCTTGAACACTTGTAGTCAAGCATTCCAGAGAACTGTGGAGAAAAATAAGATGTGAGGCAGGATGGGACAGGACAAAAATATAGACACAACCAGCCAGGCCTTCAAAGTACCTCTGAGCAGCAAGAAGCTATACCTCTTTGTTGTTTTATTCCTACCCCTGGCTCCTGACAGAGGTACCTCAATGCCTGGTTACGAGATTAGCTGTTACTCCATTCTGAGAGGGTATGTTAGGGGTTAGTTCTTTTTTTTCTTTTTTAAATTATTTTTACAGATTTATTTTTTTATTTATGCACACAGGCCAGAAGTGCAGGGGCAGTGAGAGGATTCATCAGAGACAGAGTGGAGAGCAGAACAGGCAGACTGACTGAAATACACTGCTGAGGGGAGCAGCAGGTGGGACAGGAGAGGTCTGCTGTGCCATGTGGGTCAGCTCCCTGACTGGGAATGGAACTCGTGCTGCAGTGGCTGTGGAAGGCTTCATAAAGTGCTGTGCTTTAACCTGCTGCACCACCAGGGAGGGCCCCCGCTCCAGGTTTCTAACTACACAGAAAGAACAGCAGAAACAGAAGGATGAGAAAGCAGTAAAGAAATGCCACACTTCATAAATTAAGTATTTTATACCAAGTCCAAAGAATAGGGGATATAACTGACAGGCTTCATGGGGTCGCTGTGAGGCAAGCCTGCCTTTCATCTTGTGCCAGCAACTTCTACTCTTTTCCTACTCAAAGTCAGAGGCAAGAGTGAGCTGTAACGGAAGGTAGATTATGACCACAGCACACCAGGCAAAGACAGGAAGTAGTCTCACATATCTGAAACATGATCATTTTAGAGCCCCCCTTTTTTTAAAAAAAGTTTTTATTTATTGATGCATACAGAAATGGGATACAGGTCATAGGTGCAGGGGCAGCAAAAGTATTAACCAGAAACAGAGCACGGAGCAGAACAGGCAGTTTGACAAAGTATATTGCTGAGGGAAGCAGTAGGTAAGGCAGGAGAGCTCTGCTATTCCACGTGGGTCACCTCCGGGGTGGGAATCGAACTCGCACTGATGCGCCCATGGCTTGGCCTAGTTTCGCAGTGCCGCGCTCCAACCCGTGCACCACCAGGGAGGGCCCATAAAAGCTTATTTTTTAAAGATAAATGACTTTAAAACTTTTTCTGATTATGAAATGAATACATGTTTACGACAGTAAATAAAAGACAGTATAAAACCTCAAAAAAGATGAATGCAGTGTTACCAAGCTGAAATGGACACTCTGGAATTTTTGTTCCAGAGTTTTTAGGAAAACGGAATTGCATTAGACACAGTTTGTGACTGATTTACTTAAAGGTATGTTGGAACATTTCCCCCAGGAATTCTTCTCTAACCTTATAAAACATTATGTTGATGTAGTTCCTGTTCTTAGACATTTACTTTCTTACAATTTTTATGACAAAACATGGTGTATTAAATTTCTGTACACACACCTTTTATTACTTTCTCCTAGAAGTAACACTGCTGAGTCAAGGACTACTTATTTATGCCATTATATTGCCTTTGAGAAAACACTGTATTCATTGAAAATACCTCCAGAAGTACATTCTCTATCTTGATAATCTGATACCATTTTGATTTCCTATTGTAATTTGCAGCCCTTTATTCTATTGAGTCACAATATTTATTTAACGTGTTTATCAGGTGTTTTTATTTTTCTATTAAGCAACTCATTATGGAATACAACATAGGTGTGACCTCTGTAGTAAGGAGACATGAGTTTTTACACCTGGTGGGAAGGAGGTAGAAAGATCCCTGAATTAGCAATCTTCTTCCCAGCTTCTGCAATATCAAGGAGATAAATTTGAACAATCTGGTTAATTTCTTGGGGGCCTCTGTTTTCCTTCCCATAAAAGGAAAGTCTTTGGCTAAAACACTCCTAACCTGCCATTCGGATTCTCCAGGAACCTTTGCCTGGCTTCTTGAGTTCCTACTAGATTCAAACACCACTGTTTCAGTTGGCTTCACCCTGTGGAGAAGATAATGAGCAAATTCTCCTCCAGGCAGAGACGCCACAAAATGGCCGCTTCAGGGGTATCTTGCCAATCTACCACTCCCAAATGGCTCTCATTAGATGTCCTCAATGACTTGAAGCCCCAAATGAGACCACCTTTTATCTTGACCTCACAAACCAGCCCCACCTTCCCGTCTCCAGGACAGCTGACCTCCATCGAGGCGGCACAGGTCCAAGGTGGCCACCGGGGGCGAATTGCCTCATCAGCTTGCTCCAGAGTAGGCAGCAGGACCAGGAAGAGACCATGAGTATTGTGCCTATGGCCCTGCCCTCTGGCCATCCTCCCTTACTGCCTCCTTCTATAAAATGGCAGAGGTTACAGAAGAAAACTCCTTGCTTACCAGGCTTAAATAAAACAGCAATTAGCCCGGGCAGATGTTTCCTTTCATGCACTGATTAGCTGGAAAAGGACAGACTCAACTGTTATCCCAGTTTATTTGAACAGGCTGCAGAAGTGATTTTGACTTGCCGCTCCCTCTGGCCGTGAGCTGGGCTGGGTACAAACGTGCAGCCCGCCCAGTTCAAGTGCAGGAGCCATCAGGAACAATTTTGATACTCTAGAGCAGGAAACTGCCAGTGCCTCTCCTGACAGAGATAGGAAGCCACCCATTCTCTACTGCAGAAATCCTGTGTCTCTTTGGGCGCAAACAGGCCTCGGGGTGCCAGGAAGGACTTCTGTGCTGTAATGGATGCTGCAGAGTTTGTCGGAGCAGGGGTGCTACAGGGAACCCCACCCGAAGACAAGGAGGCATTTATCCCTGGGAACAACAAAACCTGATGAGCCTAGTACACACCACAAAGAAGACTCTTGAGCCTTTCCGTTCCCTATAAAAAGGCAAGGGGTTTCTAGGCAGGGAATTTACAGAGCAGCCTTTGTGTGCTATCACACAGCCTGCATCTCTTTTCTTTAAAATTTCTTGGAAGAGAATGAGTCATCTAAACATTGCAGAAAACCAAATAGAAGTTGAGGGAAAAAATTACTTTGGGCAAAAAATTTTCTCTTAAATGTTTGCATAGTAATCTTTGCCTGGAAGAAAAAAAATTGCCTAAATTTAGAATAGAGATGTGGCCCAGCTCACAATGCTGGTTCTGTGGGATAGGAAGTGCAGTGGTGTGCTTAGGCGGGGTCTTTTATTTTGAAACTCACCACAGCCATTTGGCCAGAGTGTGATTCATGGGGGGTGGGGGACCCATGCTGCCTGCTGTTGGGGCGGGGCTGATCGGAAGGCACTGAGATTGCAGCAGCTCCTGCCAGCTGTGTGCTTACAAAATGGGTAGGGATTCCTCCTTTGCCAGCAGATAACAGTTTTGGACAACAGAACTGAAACATACAACCTCACCTCCTCTAGATGGTACCATTCCAAAGCCTCCTCACAGAGAGAGCTAGAGCAGCAAGGTGTAAGGAAGCGCGAGGCTCTGCATTGCTGACAATTCACCTTTGGATCAATATATTTTCTGAGCTTGCAGGGGTTGACCTGTTAGTGTTTCCCAAACAGCACAGATGATGAATGGGTGTTAAACCAGTCTGCACCAGGAAGGTTACCTACTTCTCGAGTTATATAAGTCAGCACAGATGTGCCTGCCAAGATGGGGGTGGTGGTATTTACTGGCTATCTACACTACAGAGTTGTACTACTTGGCAAGCATGAAATTACTCCCTCTTTGTATGAAAGAGAAAAAACAAGACCTAGGCCTGTCTATGCCACGTGGTGAGAGCTGATGTCAAGGCTGAGCCTGTCAGCAGGTAGAAACAGTAGGGTCATTTAGTTCTCTGTTGATTAGCCCATGTCAGTGGTTCTCCAAAAAAAGAATCCAGTTTTCAAGGGCACATATCTCCCTCCACCAGGACTAGCACCCTTACACATGGCAAAGTCACATTTCAGATCAACTGTTAAAAAAAAAAAATACAGTTTAAAATTGACTTCGAGGGCCCTCCCTGGTGGTGCAACAGGTTAAAGCACAGCACTATGAACTAGCTACAGCCACTGTAGCAGGAGTTCAATCCCGGCCAGGGAGCTGACCCACAGGGCTCGGCAGACCTCTCCTGACCTGCACCGCCCCCCACACCCCCTCAGCAGTGTACTTCGTTCTGCTGCCTGTTCTGCTCCCCACTCTCTCTCTGGTGAATCCTCTCAACACCTCTGCATGTCTGTCCTGTACCCTAGTTTTATAAGCATAAATAAACCTTTAAAAAAATAAAACTGAATCCGTATGCACAGGTGTTAGAGGAAGGGACTTGAACCCCATATGAAACTCAGGTAGAAGAAATGCCTCCAGATGTGGAACAACAGTTTCAGGGGCACTTGCTCGACACTGCAAAGTAGCTATTTCATGAGCTGGCACTGGAGGGGAGGACGGCACCGGGAGGAGTGACCGTTTGGAGACAGGCCCGTGCTAGGTGATGGTGGGCACCGAGTCTGACCTTCCCCCAGCCCAACTCAGTCTATGACAGTAAGTAGGGTGGGGAGTTGCAGGGCCCAAACTCAGGGACGACTTCCAGATTTCTCCTCGCCTACGCTGCTTGTGGAGAGGCCGGGGAGCTGCTACTATTGGGTATTCCTTCCTGAAAGGACCATATGATGTGCCCGGAAGGCTGTGCTCCAGTTATGGTCTCACTCT